ATTATATAAATAATTTAATGTAACTATATAATAATTTAATTTAACGGTAACTTAAACCATGACACGAGAATGTTATATATTAGAGATAAGATATTTCGAAATATTTCAACACGTTTCGTCGTTAGTACATAACGGAATAATCCAAACATCTCGCAACATGATACTAATGACCGCACGGACAAACAAACACTTGATAAATCTCTGTTTATATCATAAACATTAGCTGATTCACATAAAAGACAGATTAAACAATCAGGCTCGCATTAGCGCCGTTTTTTTTTCTATTCTCGTCTTGTTCTGTTTTGAAACATTACGTTAAAAATAGTTCCAAAGAGTACCTTTTCAGTCATAGTTTTCAATTTCTAGATAAACAAAAGAAGAGTATTCATTCGTTTCAAATAAGGAATTGAATGTTTTCGAATGTATTTTTTATAACGCCAATAGATGGCATTGATTAGAAATTCGAACAACGTGCGTGTGAATATATTAAAAGTAAATTTACCTACACGATATCGTAGGTTGGATACTATCAAAATATTATGTATCGTGACAATGATGTAACCGATTTGCTTACATATGTAAAACCCTAAATAACGTACCTGCAACAAAAAAGAAAATATTAAATACATATTATTTATTATGTAGCTCGGTGGCGTAGTGGATTAGCGCCGCGGCCCGTGATCGTAGTCGTTAAGCAACTTTCGCAAGGGTCGGTCACGGGATGGGTGACCAAAAAATTATTATCTCGAGCTACTTCGTGCTTCGGAAGGCACGTTAAGCCGTTGGTCCCGGCTGCATTTGCAGTCGTTAATACCCTCCAATCCGCATTGGGCCAGCGTGGAGGGTCATGGCCCATCCTCCTTAACCATCCATAAGGAAGGCCTGAGCCCCTGCAGTGGGGACGTAAAAGGGCTGATGATATTGATATATTATTATAGCATATCCTTAACATAACCTTAAAGTTAAAAAAGCGGCCAAATTTTCATTAACTCATAATGGTTTCTCAGCAAAAAGTATTTAATAAAGAAAGTAAAGGAACTTACATTTAGCTATTATTGTGTCAGTTTAAAATCTATATTTTTTCTGCACTTTACAATATGGTTGCCAATTAGCCTTCGCAAGTAATAAAGTAATTTATGGTTAATTAACTTTAGTATGGCGGCTAAATTTTACTACGCTAATTTACTGGTTTTTTACCTCTACAATGATGTTGGTATCATTCATAAAAACTAAATTTTATAAAATAAACACTTACATAGTTATAAGTATTCTGATATCAGATTAAAATTATGTGGCCCTGCATGGAATACAGCACTTTGTTGTTCGGTGAAATACTATCTCTATTAAGTGTTCTTTGCGACTTTTCGCTTTTGCCGGCTCTTAAGCCTTCGTGTAAACTTTTCTCTATCTATAAACTTATATCTGTATATCTTTATTACGTTTTGAAGTAGTTTTATTCAATTGAACCTTTTATGTTGTCACAGCACTGTGGTCGACGCTTTGTTCTTTTTTTAATAAAAAATGCTTCGCTAAATAATTTATCACGGTTATTTTATTCACAAAGTACACGTTATTGATTAAAATAATGTAAGATTATATTCTAATAAGTTCGGTCCACTGAAAATATGATGGAACATACGAATCCAAAAAACATCAAGCCGTTAATTATCTCTTATTTTGAAACCGGTTAAAATCTTAAATCCATCCAAAAAATGCAAAATGAGATATAATATTGTAAATTTATGTTGATTATAAACATGAAGTCATAACCTTACTATTAAATTTGATCATCAAATTATGATTATAAAATAAAGCAAGCTCAACGTTGAAACTTCTCTCGAGCGTATAATGTAGAGGGCTATTATACAAAATGGCTGACTCGACCGAACGGTCTTTGTGTGAATTTTTAATAATAACGTTATTAAAATCTTTTAAAGTGCTGCGGTTTTAGGTTACGAAGTTATGCGAAAGTCTCTTCGTTAATGAAACTTGAGAAGTTTTGAGGAATAAAATTTTGAAATGAAGACAATTATTGTGTTTGCCATTTCTCGTTTTGTTCGCTTCAACGGGGCCGTCTCGAAAGTCCTATAAAGATACATTTGTATAATCCTACAAAAGAATATATTTTTACAGTCGAAATTCAACTGTATTCTGAAAAAATTAAAACCTTCAATCTGGCTAAAACAAAATAATGTGGGCAAGTTTCACTTTCCTTTTTTTGAAATGAAATAATCATTTCTAAAAAGGAAAGTGAAACTTGCAGTTTTTGAATTATTTATTTTTTTCGCGTAGGTGAAGGCAGATTTTGATAATGGTCCAGTTGTTTTGCAAGTGATGATATTTATTATATTTAATTTTGCATTGACAATGCTATCTTGGGAAATATTCTTATTGAAAAATGCTTAAAAATTCACCAATCTTAGGTACTCTGAGATGAGACTCACAACCTTTTGCAATTTGGACGACTACCTCTTACCACTGAGTTACCGAGTGTCGTTAGGTGGAGGACTAACGAATTTTTCAAGCACTAGTTACTTTTCGCTACTACAGAGCGTATTTTCATCAATGTTCAGGCAATCCACCCAAACAGCCGAAAGAAATATTATTACAAATATTTAAACTTTCGATGAAGATGAAAATTTATTCTAATTATTATATTTGAATAATTTTGCCTTCACAATACTATTTCGGAAAATATTTGAAATGGAAAATGTTTAAATTTTTCATTAAGAACATTTTCCAAGCTAATGGATTCTAAAATGGTAGGTTTGAGTCCCATCTCAGTCCCATACCTGGGGCTGATTGTTTTTTTTTAGCATTTTCCATTTAGAATATTGATAATATTTGTTTAATAAAACAAAAATTATATATCTAATTCGTTTTGATGCAGTCGTTCTGAAATTATACGTCATTGCTACATGCGTACAACATTTCAGCGATGCAATGATGTTTATAACATATGAAACACTAATAGCCGAGGTGTATAATTTAGACATTTTACAATAGCCGTAATTGTTACTTTATTGGTTAATACGTTTATATGAAAATGTACCAGAATCTATTCAATCGGAGCTAAAAACCTTCATGGACAACAAACCTAAAGATCTTACTTATGTAAACAAGGAAGCCATAGAATAAATAACATGGATACAGTGTCACCACAAATCCATTTATTTGTATACATAGTTGACCAGGGTTGTCAACACAATATATTTCAATTCATCACTTCTTTCTTTTACCTCGACTACAAAGGAAGGGTTAGGTATTTCGTGCGTATCTTGTGCATATTTTATATTGTTTATTATCTCATAACTTCAGAACTGCTGAACGGATTTAGATAATTGCGTTAGATTTGTCTTACTAGCCTAACACCCGGTTTCTGAATTGAGTATTTGAATTTGAGAACGTCTCAAACTATACTTAAACTGTACTTAAGCAGTTTTTCGTTTCTGATTTAAGTTTTCTCAAACCATAATCAAACCATAATTAATATTTGAGTTTCTAAACGACTAGCGTGCTAAACAACCTATTCTGCGTTTCACAACTAAGCAAAACACGTTTGACAGTTCTCAAACCGTTCTTATGTCAGTCAAAAGATAAGCGTGCATATTCGGTTACTCAAACTGCTCTTACACATTCATTACATTTCAATTTAACGAAATTCATTACATTTGCAATTCAACGAAAATGAGCGACAGTGATACTTCTTTGTCGTCTTTGGAGATGCCTCAAGTGCGTCCACACAGCCAACGAAGAAGTCGCAGGATAGTAAATAGTCGAGCAGATTTCTTCGCGAAGTTCAGTGACGAAGAGTTCAAGAGTCGCTTTCGATTTACCAAAGAGTCTGTAAGATTTATACTAAACAAAATCAAGCATAAGCTAGAGCCAAACAATCAGCGACGGGATTGCATTTCTCCTATGTTGCAATTATTGATAGCCTTAAGGTTTTATGCGACCGGCAGCTTTCAGGCAGTTGTAGGAGACACGGTTAATGTGAGTAAGGCGACAGTTTGCCGTGTAGTGGACAAAGTATCTTCTGTGATCGCCTTATTAAAACACCAATACATTCACATGCCTACTGCTGAAGAAAGACCATCAGTGGCAGCAAGTTTTTTTTGGAATCGCTGGATTTCCCAGAATAATTGGAGCTGTGGACTGCACACATGTTAAAATTATTTCTCCAGGAGGAAACAGAGCCGAACTGTATCGGAACAGAAAAGGATATTTTTCTATTAATGTCCAGGCTATCTGTGATGCCAATTTAAAAATACGTAATATTATTGCACGTTGGCCAGGTTCTGTGCATGATACAACAATTTGGAATGACTCTCCGATTGCTGCTCAATTTGAAGCAGGTAGATATGGCTCATACCTGATTTTGGGTGACAGTGGCTACCCATGTCTAAGATATCTTATGACACCCTTCTTGAATCCAACTACACCTCCTCAAGAAGCATATAATCAAGTCCATATAACCACAAGGAACACAATAGAGAGATGTTTTGGAGTTTTAAAAAGAAGATTTCCATGTCTTCAATCAGGCATGCAACTTAAGCTTCCAAAGGTGATGAAAGTAATTGTGGTTTGTGTTGTATTGCATAACATGACTCTTCATCTTGACGATTATATTGTTCAAGAAGATGAACTTGTAGAAGTTAATGATGAAGTAGTAGCCCAGGCCCATGTACAACATTTTGTTGCAAGAGCATCAATTGTGGAAAACTACTTCACATAAATAAATAAATAAATATAAGGATGCGGAAGGCTAGTACTGTATATTACTTTTTGCTGTTGGACATTTATTTTAGTTTTATTTTAATGTTTACCTACTAATTAATGATAGTTCTTTAATTAAAAATATAGAATAAAACATTTTTGCATATAATGTGGTTTATTTATTCATATTCATTAAATGTTTAGGTGAAACAGCCTTTATTAATCACAGATATTGATAATATAATAATCACTTAATAACATATTTTTTCACTTATAATAAGCTCTTAAGCTAAATCCTTGTTAGCTTTTTCCAATTGTTTTTTTAATATTTGCATTTCCAGTTCATGTTTCTTTTGTTCGAATCTAAATCTTTGCATTTCGTTTTTTTTTTGGTAATAAGCTAACTCTATTTTTTTCTTAAAATAAATCTTTTTCAAAGCTTCAGCTGGATGTTTGTTTATTAATACAGCTTTGTCATTTTTTCTTTGAAGCACCAGTTTCCTTTTTCTATTTGTCTTGGGTAAATTAGGTTGTGGCTGTGGATTAGATTGTGGCTGTGGATTAGGTTGTGGCTGTGGGTTATGCTCTGGTAACGAATTTTCTTCAACATTGTCCCCTGAAAAATAAAATTATAGGGATGACTATTTAAAAATATTTCGTTAAACATACATAAAACTTAAGATCTAGTCCTACCAAAATAGTCAGCTGCATCATCATAAGGGTTCACATCAGGACGTATTTGAGCATCCAAAACTGAGAGGATTTGATGATCAACATCTGTTAAAGTAGGAGTGAAGGAGCCACCACCAGTTTTCTTTAAATTTTTCTAAAAAAAAACATTGTTACGGTTTAAACTAATTTCAAAGTGGTTCTGAGTTATTGTATTATCAATTTGATAGGTAACCTGGTCATCAGCACTCTTCTTCTTCAAATCTTTTAATAAATTTTCATTTACATCAACCTAAAAATAACATTGTTATATGACGTTCTCTTACTATCTATAACGTTTTGATATCTGAAGCATAAGAATAAAAGGTAATGTTACAACAATAAATACATACATGAAACAATATTGTAAACAATGCTATAAAACTTTAATTTGAAGTTCTTACTTTGCTATTATTGAAAGTAGATTTTCTTTATCTTCTATTGTATAATTAGGCGACCGTTTAATTTTTGGTTTCTTTTCCATTTTAATGTTTATTTTATCGATTGGTATTGTACTTATTTAATAAATAAAGTGGTCAGCGGCAACTTTGTTTATTTTCAGTTTGATTTGAGTTTGACATTCAGTCCATTTCGTTTAAAGCATGTCAAACACTATCAGTTATTAGAAAGTATTTCAATTTGTAAATTTTAAATTACAAAAGTACATGATATTATTATGATAAAATATATTATTATAGTTGGGAATGTTAATTTTATTTTAAACTCACTTCATTATACAATTTTATGAATTACGGTAAAATACCGGTTTTCATACGTATATCGGAACATGTCAGCCGTGCTCAAATTATTTAAGTAAATGATCAGTTAATAGCGGTTTGATAAAACAACGTTTTGACCTGTGAAACGTAAAATACTTAAGTACAACTTAAGTAATGTAGAATAATCAGTTGAGATTTTGTACTTTACTCAATTCAGAAACCGGGCATAAGTGTTCTTATATAGGTAACGTTAAAGAAATCCATTCATTCAAACAACACGGATATCAAATTAAAGGGCCCAATACAAGTATCCAAAAAGGTATATTACGATTATCTTTATGTAATTCTAATAAAAATCATACAATGAGAAAGTTTTAAAATATAGACTTTATTTTTTCACTTTCTCAATCAGCCTGGTAATTTTTCTAACTAAAAAGATAAAAATAAAATTATAAATAAAAAAACCCGCATGCGTAAAAACTACAAGATTAAACTGGAACAAGATAAAAAACATATGCAATATCATACATAACAAACGTATGCACAAAGAGAGACTAATTTGACTTATCAAGCCTCCATGCAGTCATGTAATGTATGATGTTGCATATTTTTTTATTTTGTTCTCGCCTTTTCAGTTAGTTTTTGTCACGCGGGTGGGTTTTTTTTATCGATCTAGCGATCCACAAGGAATCGGAACACGATCTAACTTGTTTCAACTTTCACATATAATTTCACACCTTGAATCACACGAGACATCGTCCACACTACTTCTGGGGAGAGAGCTTTGCCTCGAGACTACGCACGATCCGGAGCGCATTGAATAATTGAATTAGTGCCAGCCCTAGTAATAAGGCAGTAAAAGAAATACTGGTATTATTTACATATGTAGAATAGTGTTCAAATAATATTTTAAGAACATTATAAATATGAAAGCTGTTATTCAAAATTTGTAACGTATTTTTTATCTGATTTAAACATAGTATTAACTCTAGAAAGATGGGAAAAATTGCTTACCCATAAAAACGGCAGGAGGTCATTTGGTCAATAAGGATGGGAGAAGGTATACGAAATGAATTTTGATTATTATATTTGATCAATTTCGCAATCACAATGGTATACTGAAAAATACTTAAAAAATCCATTCGGTCCCTGGCACCATGAGATGGGATTTCAGGTTGCGAAAGGTCATGTGTTCGAATCCCATCTCAGGGTGTCAGGGACCGAATGGATTTTTTAAGTATTTTTCAGTATACCATTGTGAAACCAATCAATCAATAATGAAATCGTTAAGAATGAAATTTGATGTTAAATATTAATTTTTAAATATTTTATGAGTAGCTCTGTGGCGTAGTGGATACACGGGATGGGTGACCAAAAATTACTTCGTGCTTCGGAAGGCACGTTAAGCCGTTGGTCCCAGCTGCACTTGCAGTCGTTAATACCCTCCAATCCGCATTGGGCCAGCGTGGAGGGTCATGGCCCATCCTCCTTAACCATCCATGAGGAAGGCCTGAGCCCCTGCAGTGGGAACGTAAAAGGGCTGATGATGATGATGATAATGATTATATTTTTAAAGACCCAGACTCTTAGAGCTAGTTACAATTTTTACTATCTTTGATTTATTGAAATCAGAAATCAATTTTACAGGTATCACATGATTCAACTATGGCTTATAAAATTGAAATGAAATTTTTGTGTTATTTTAATGTTATCAACTAATTTGAATAGTCTAGCAATCGGTGAGCTTCGACTTCAATGAATGAACTTGTCTCTGATTTGCTTTTGTGTATAAGGCGTTGGTCCACACTGTTCTGTCAAAATGTTGTGCCATACAGACCAGTGCTCTTGTATAGTATCCCCTACGGTGATACTCATATGGTACGAGCACTCGGCTTCAGCTTCTTTTCTCTTGCATTGATTTTGATGATCTACAGTGGCTGAGTAAGAAAATTATATAAATAATACTTAGAATGTGACAAACATTTAGCAGAATGTCAACATTATTTGCTCGATTCGGAAATATTTTCCTATACCATAAAATTCATTTGGATTTCTTTTTCTTCACCAATGATGTCTGATTGGTCTAAAAGTAATAAAGCTGATAATATTTGACTATCACTCGATTCGAATTGAGAGAAAGAGAGAGAGAGAAACAGAGTAGAGAGATAGTAAAATAAAAAGAGCAATATTTACATCACGAAAGCAGCAGTTTAAATTTAATAAGTAGACACGTATGACATGTAACAAACACGGCAGTATTATAATAAAATAAATATTTTGTTGAGGAATTTTTTGCAATAAAATATATAATTGCGGGAATTATTAATTAATAATAGTAAGATTATTAAATGATAATAAACTCATTTCTGCACTGATATTTGAGATATTTGAATAAAAGTCACGAGATGATGAAACATATGAATATATATTACTTTAGAAATTATACAATGCTAAACTACGATATAACTCCATCTATTGTTAAAAAAATTCCCTCCGTTTGAACGCTGATAACTGTTAAAATAGTGTGTAGATATATTATATAGTGATTCAAAAGGAAGATTTTTATATACAGTAATAAATAGTATTTTAATAATAGATAATATATATAATAGATAATAAAATAGATAATAGATAATAAAATTAATAAAACGGAAAAGAGTAATATAATATACATAAAAAAAGTAAAAAAGCCCTTCTACAGAGTGGAAGAGCGTTGAATTATTAATTTTGGATATCATATTTATAAGTTTTTGTATTATTTTATACTTATTTTGTTTGTTTTCTGCAAATAGTTTTATCATTAAATAGGATTAAATCAGTTCACAGTTACATTGCAGTCTTCAAAATTATTGATTCAAATTTCATAAATAATCTTTTGAAATATTTATTTTAATCGTCAAAGTGTATACAGGCAGTTGAATTAAAAACTTTCTATTTATAAAGTTAGTAAAAAGAGCGTTATTTTCTCGTGGCAAAATGAGAAAGAAAATTCCTTAATTAGACATAATAGCGTAGCTAAGGGACAATATTTCAAACGCCAAGAACACGTGCAAGATATAAGCATAATATTACCATCCATTGGTTACAGACGAGACACTCTCTTTTAGTTTATTTACAATACCATAGATAGAATTACATTTGCAAACAATCGAAATACGAGCGTTATGGAGAATTTTCGGTATCTTTAATAATATTATAAAGAGGAATGATTGAATTGTTTGTCTCCAAAACTTCTTGACCGATTTAAAAGTTATTTCTGCTACATAACTATATAATACGCACGTGATATAGGTTATAGTTTACCCGGCAAGTTGCGGAAAAACAGCTAGTAAAGAAATAAGAAAGAAAATTGATCTGAAAAATAATGTCAGTGTACATTTAACGATTATAAGTATATTTAAAGTGATTCGAGAATTAAATTGATATTTATATTATATATAATATAATCAATCGATGTTTTAATGATACCTTGTACACAATTTTTCCAGTTAATGCAATACGAAGTCGCAGTCGCAGCGGTTGAGTAGGTTTGAGATAACTAACTATTATATTTATATCTAATTCAATACTAATCTACTTAGATAAGATGTTTAATGGCCGGAACGCACTTCTAAGGCGTCTAAATCTAATCCCTGATATCCCTGATCTGAAATTGATGTGACTTAAATGAAGTCTAAATAAACTTTAGGTAAGTAAATTGAGTCTAGACGAAGATACTGTTTAAAGAGGTCATTTGTATATTTTTTTAAAGAAAAATATCTGATCCTTAAGATCGCAGCTGAAAATATAGATTGCCTAAAAAGAAAAGGTGTTTTTATTACAAATGAGGCCCTAGTGCCATATCCTTCTAAATCACTATTTGTACCCCGCAACCTAAATCTTCAAAGGAAAGTAAGCAACCTACATTTTACGATTATTGTAGAGGTGTTTTCTCGTTTACTACTCGATTTTCATGAATAATAATTAAGGGAAATTGATAGAAAAGAATAACGCACAGTGAATATTATTTTACTATAACGGTCCCTGATTTAGCTAGGAACGTGGTTCTAAACTTGAATCTACAAGTTATCTGCATATAAACTTACAATCAAATAACTAAGATGCCCTCACCTTAATCATATCTTAAACTAAAAATAGTTTCTGTATGGCATCTTGGACTTATGGATCAATATGGCCGCAAAAGTTGCTCGTCTGTCCACGCCTCTTAGTTAGGGAAAGTAATTAATTACTGGATGCCGTCACATTCAACTGCGTTACTAACTGGTGTAATATTTTCAGTAAATCTTGGTATTTTATGAAAAGAAAAGTTGCGATCGTTGCATAGCACATATATAAATGCTTTGAATTTTTTTTCATAACGTGTTGATGTAATTAAAAATTTTATCCGGCGCCTAAATAGCAGCCGTCCAAAGCTGCTATTCAAAATCTATACTAATATTTAAAAACCCATAATGTGTTTATTCTTTTTTTACATGCGTTTTTTTTCTGTGAGGTCAATTGAGATGTTTGAAATTGAAAAGCAATATGCCGCAGTGTTTGAATTGCGGCGCTGATTTTCAGCGGATACCTTAAGTAAATAAATAAACAAATGAAACAATATGAAATAAGGAGGAGCACGTATAGCATCACAAACAATTACATACAATTTACAAGACTCGCTTATAAAGTAATTGTCCAATTTATCAGCTTACAAGCTTTATATTAAAATAATTAAAATAATCAAATAAGATTAAAAAATTACCTATGTGAAGACAAATTTATAATTTCAATAAAATAATAGCAAAAATTTAATATTTATGATTATAAAACTACTCGTAACAATAATAATTCGCAAACACAGCAACAATATTAGTGTACACAGCTATTTTAATCTTTGAATTATTGAGTTCACAAGACAACCCTTAAATTTGGTTAAACGTTACAATACTTTTAGCATTTCTAATAGGGGATGGATATTATTCCAGCATTTAGTTGCAGAATAGCTAAAATTGCCACGGAAAGCGGCTATTTTATATTTTGGGAAAATCAAACGCAAAGCGGTTCTAATTATGCGGTTAGAAAATTGAAGCCTGTCATACAAATATGAAGGGTTCCGAGTCTCAATGACACCGAAAAGCGGCTCGCAAAATGCAGTTTACGTTTTGACTTCATATTCTTTAAGTTGTGTTTATTCAGAAATGGTGTGACATGTGACCTGCTCGGGATTGGGAAACAAAACCTACCACATGTATTCTGAACACTTTATATTAGCTTATTTGTACGATTCACCAGTAATACAATCAGCATAATTCAGCTTTGGTAGTATAAGAGATTCACAGAGATGAACTCTGACATCCACACTGAGATGTCTACAAAAACCATACCAAACCTTTAGTTTATAATAACAATGACCAACCACTTCAGCCACGTGTCTTTCAAAACGTAGTTCTTCGTCCATTAATGTACCCAGACTTCTTGCTTCTGTTACTCTCTCTCTATATTTACATTTCTTATTTTTAAATTCATTTCTGAGTCATTCAAGTAAATCGTATGTGCCTTGGTACTTATCACCAGATTTTTTCTCTGACCATGCTACGATTCGTTCAATATCATTATTCATATCAACCAGCGTTTCCTTCAGTTCTGTAGGGTGAATATATATATTTGAATTATTCATTCTAATTCCCGATTCAGGTAGTCAATTTTACTTCATATTTAACTTATTTCTATAACATTGACCTGTATCTAGATCGTATACACTTGTATTCAAAGTATTCGTCAAATTCTTTACATTTCTAAAACCGTTCTATATTAGTACATGGTAGTAATCAACCAAGAACACACAAAAGTTATTACGGCCGATAATACTCACAGCCTCAAAGTGACCCAGCAAAGGAAAGGGGTTGAGGTAAACGAGTGATTAATTACGGGGTGGGTGATATACTCCCCATCTCCAGTGATTGCATTTACCGTCATTCGCAAACATCCGCCTTACCAAATATTGTTGCGTAAATAGAAAACGGAGCGGAAAATGTGTAATGAACGGCCAGGGCGTTCCTCCTTCGATTGAGGGGTTTAAGTGATGTTCGCAAAGGTCGGACATTGAATGGGTGACTAAAAATTTAATATTCATATCTTTACTTTCATCACACGGAGATAAAGAAGAAATAAAATATCTATAAACACCTTGAGACTTATACGTAGCATGACAAACTTGAGAACGTTTTCTACAGCCAAATGTCAGTTTCTAGGTTTGAGAGTGAGATATCGTATGGGCGCATCCGGGAAAAGTGACATTTGGGGTGTAGAAAAACGTTCCCGAGTTCGTCATGCAACGCGCTCAGGAGGTCGACGATCGAATTTTATCAATATATCTGCTTGTTTACTAATTTTTTTTCTTTACTCATATTAAAATAAAACAGCTGAGACCAACGGCTTAACGTGCGTATATATTGTAATGGAAAGTGTCTTCATAGTTTAATGAAGTCACATCCCAATAAGACTTCTTTGTGTGAAATAAAACAGGGAGAAAAAAGCAGCCCTTGCTCAGTTTCTTGCCGGTTCTTCTCCGTACAAGGTCTCCCACCGTAGATTTGCCAACTGATGGCGTAGTTCTCCACATTCACTAGTGCTTGTAACGGCATAGACTGAATTAACGCTTTTGATTTGATTTCTCTCGAATCTCGAAGTAATTAATTTTTGGTCATTCATCCTATAACCGATCCAAGCTAAGTTAATTCCTCATCACAAATCAAATGTGGCAAGGTAGTTTATTATCTTATTACTTCCCGATTAATAAACTCAGTTTTCAGGTTGATAAAAACATTCCCAAACATCTGTAGAGCGGCTCGGCTAACTCCAGCGTTCCAGTGGCGTCAAATTACTAGAAAACTCGTCGGCAAAGCTGCAACCGCATAAATCAAGCGAGGTGCCAGCCTGACCCAGTTACTGGCAAACTTAATTGGGGAGACTTTGAGTGTTGCCTCCGAGCGGAAAAAACTATTTTTAATTTTACAATTTTTTTAAAGCCGCGAAACGAATTGGAGTTTCTTTTTTTAAATTAGAAAAATAAAACTTTTCAATTCTGAAATACGTATGGAAAATGTTTTTAGAGTTACACAACCTTAGTTGTTGATTATGAAATTCAAAATCTATATTTTTTTAAACGTAAAAATCACTGACAACTTTATATTATTAAACTAGCTTTCCGCCAGCGGCTTCACCCGCGTGGTCCTTAGGGAACTGTTTAGTGGGATAAACAATGGTAACTTTTTAATTCCCTATGCGAATCTGCACTCCCATTTTTATCCCTTTAATTGCTGTTTTCTTGTGATAAAATATAGCATATGTCCACTGCATATGATGTAGTTTTACATCGGTGAAAGATTTTTTAGAATTCGTCCAGTAGTTTCTGAGCTCATCGAATGGGCAATCATTCTTTCGTCTATATAATATAAAGTGTAGATTAAAAAACAACCTTTTTTTTAATATTATCTTCGGCTTTGAATATGTATAGACGAATCAAATGAAGCACTATAGCTACTTTCACATTCCATTATCAGTTCACCTCTATTCAGTGCCGGTTTTAGCACTACTAGCGCCCTGGGCGAAATTTCTTCGGCGCCCCCTAACAGCAATTCAATTACTACTACATACTACAAATCATTTACTTGTCTATTTTTCGCCAACCCGGCCTACTTACTTGTAATTTTCCCTAAATTTAGGTAGATTGTTAAGTTGGCAGCATTAGAATGGAACGTAGTGTTCAATCGGTTTAATTTCTCGGGAATCCCCGACTTTCCGACCATACAGAAACAATGTGTTTTTCTATAATCGAGGATTCCCGAGATCTATCTCTTTTAATTTTTGACGAAGCAGAACACAATCAACAATCATCTTCATGCTTGACAGAGGTGGACGCTCTTAAAACAATTATTTGATTATTTTAAAACAAACAAACACAGTAATCAAACGTTTAACGCTACGTTACGATGCTCTTGTTTCAACTATAGAGTGAAATTAGTTTTATTTAAAAAATAGACATATAAATAGTGTATAAGTAGCTGTTTCATTTTTGACGGATCACATCATTAGATAAGTACAGATTAATTTTTGCTATCTATACTACACATTCCCTAATACTTAAGTATATACGATGTTAAAATAACAGGTTAATTATTGAAATTGGGTCCAGACTCTTTACCCTTGTAACACCTTAACAGGGTATCACATAATTGTTATGTATAACTTTGTGTAATTGTTGTAACTTTGTGACAGTGAGTTTGCAGTGGGCCACTTCTTATTATATGATCAATTATTTTGCTATTTCGAATAAGTGAGCTGGATCCGCTATATTCGGGACAACAGTAGCAACATCATCTAGAACATGTAATTGTCGTACATCAATAACAGATTTATCCTGATCAGCATCTGTAATCGTAGCACTACTTGCTCCCTCACTTCGGGATTTTTCATCCACAATCTCTTGAGTAGCTATTCCATCTGACTTGCCAGAAAGAGGCTCCACTGCCGATGCATTCATTTGTATAGCAGTATTTTAGCTTCAGCTTAACGTTTAAACATGCTCAAACGAAAATTTTCTTAAATAACCGAGCGATAATGCCCGCCAATGTACGTCATCTTACCTAATAAAATACATATCTTCATATTGGTAATCGGTATGATGTTCTGTTTTGCCATAATATAATATTTTTCTTGTTAAATTTCCTTTTAATTCATGCTGAAAGTGAGGCAACTTGAAAACAAAAAAAACATCCTCATGGTTCTTGTCTTTTTTCGCCGACCCAGTAGGCCTTGTTCAATGAGCGAGAGAACTATATATATATATAATCTTTGTCTGTGGGAAATGAGTAAGTATTAGAAAAAAAACATTAGTTCCCGAAATCAAACTAGATGTGGCTACGGTACGTTCTTGATTTCTCCATGACAACCCTTCCAGTTTCTTTCATGTTTAAAAGTAAATTAGTTTTCAAAATTCAATTAACAACTAATATTCTATTTGTACTTTTTTGTATTTGTATTGTTATCTAAGTTCCGAACATTTAAAATTTCAGTTTTTTAATATGTTACTTAAAAGGAATGGAAATGACTGTCTTTGTTCCATTCGTTTCCTGCAAAAATCAACTTTTGCTAGAGTCGACGTCTAGTGGAGGTACCTTTGTAGTGCTTTAATTTTTTTAAATATTTCCTCATTGTACAGAATCAGAAAGAAACGCCGAACAAAAAAAGGCGCCGCGGCCTGTGGCGCCCCTTTTGGTCCGGCGCCCCTGGGCGGTCGCCCAACCGCGCCCTACCCTAACGCCGCTACTGCCTCTATTCCATATTAAGATTGCATTGTCATTTAAGTTATACAGGGTTATTTGTTAAGTACATCTAGAAGAGTTGTGTCAGAACACTTAATATAACATTTAAGTGCACCTACATTTTAAAAAGTTCACAGAGTGAAATCGGCTCTGAAAACACATAAATACAATATAATCAATAAGACAGCAAGTCATGTGCGTACGCGATATTAATTCTTTTCATGATTTACGAAAATACCTTTTTCATTAATAATTCGTAGTGTAAACTTTAAACAAATAAAGTCAAATTTTATGACACAAACATCAATAATTTTATGAATATTTGCATTTTTTTTCTTACTTTTTAATACACATGAAGTGTAACTGACATAAATAAGAAAATATTTCTTTATGTCAGTTACACAAATGGGAAAGTGGGAAAAATTTGAACTACACATCTAACACGAGTGAAATAAAAAATTGAAATAATGTATTTTGCTGAGAGATCGAAGCAAAAAACCAATTTCAAACAGACAAACCTGAAGGCAAGAGTATAAGACAGATGCATATGCCACATAGCGACTATGAAAAAAAACTAGCGAAACTCCATTTCCTTTCAAAACGTCTGGTTAATATCAAACAAAACACTGTTAAATATAACACATCACTCAAAATTGTGCAGTGAAGTGTATTTGCGCTATGGATCAACATTAATCAATCCAAATAGTTATTATCAGCTGTTAAATTAAATTTATTTACTGAAGCTTGTACCGGACTGCCGGCTTTAAATAGATCGTGCTGGCATAGACATCTTTATTCATCATAAGCCTATTGATTACCCACTACAGGAGTACAAACTTTAGGTATTTGCAAGAGCTTTCGAAAGCTTGGTTTTTTAGTATGTTTAAATACTAAGTGCAGAGGTCACCTGGGAATACCAGGTGGCGTTCATTATTTTTTATTTATTCGGATACCATTTACATGTTTTCGCATTTAAGTAACATTTCATTGCTTATTCACTAGTGCTAACAAAATAAAAAAGCAAAATTAAGGAGATCATCTGAAATATCTACAGTAAGAGAACCGTCAAACCAAAACTGAGTTAGAGAATCTTTGAAAAGTGTGGGTTTTAAAAGTTTGGGAAAGATAGTCAGTTTGTTAACAGCGTTGGAAGATCTTACAGAAAAGGAACATTTCCAGATAAAAGTAATATACAACGAGAAAATAGAAGGAACATCCTTCCTTCAGAAGCCGAGGAAAGCCATTTCTCGATCAAATCGATTGCGTGCTGATTGAACATGATGGCGAGCATGTATGAAGACAGTAATAAAAGTCAAGGAGGCGAAAGATATAAGTCAGGCACGGCGCCTTGTGGCGCTCGGTCCTCTCTGTCTACCTCGTAAGGGATACTGCGATGAAGATATGGATACCTAGAGAGTAATTTATAAACTTCAAAAAAAAATTATTGCGTATGTTTTATAAAGCAATTTTTTTTTATTTATAAAACTTATATTTTATATGTTTAATAAGCATTAGACAACATCACATAAATTACTTAGATTCCAAGATGAGTAACTAGGGGATTTAGTTACTCATTTTGGAATCTGAGCACTTTATAGTATTAGAGAGTATTTGAGGAAAACGAAGGTACCAAAACACCCAGCCCGAGAGATTTAGAAAAGGCAATGACGAAGAATAGAACCTGGGACCTTAGACACATTGAAACCGGCGAGAAAACCACAACAATGACGCGTATAACAATGATTTAGAGTAAAATTTCATTTAATTATTTAAAATAAACCACATACAATATTCAAGCGCCACACAGCCCTTATGTATTCGATCTATTGAATTTACAGGGTAAACCGTCACATAACCCGGCAGCTAACATTTTGTGATTTATTAATATTCCCAGGTTCGTATGCACGTCATTTATAACCGCGTGAACAATTTTATTGTGCCTTATAAAACGCATTGATCGCTTTGTTTGATAGTCAACTATTCAATATTAATGAAACAATCAAGGCTAAATAGAAAGGATAACATTGACGTGGATATTATTATGATATTACGATAAACTGAATATTGTAAAATAATTATATGTTATTCACTTGTGAGATATTTAGGTGTCACATATTTATATAATAAACTATCAGTGCTATTAATAAACTAGGTTTTATCGTCAGAGTAAATTAACGCTAAAATTACAATTTTAGTATTAGCCTAAATTCACATATACAGAGAAATCTTCTAGGAGTACATATTACTCCCGTTATATGTACTCCTAGTAATCCTCCTCCTAATCTCTGTTTAATAATATGAATTTTGACTAAATACTAATGAAGTCTCAGCGTGTATTTACTCCAACGCTAAACCTTGTTTATTATACACTGAAGGTGATTTCGCGACTTCACTCGAGTAAGTTATAGTCTATATCACTCGGGTAAGAAGTATCTTCTCGAAGTTGAAAGAATTTTGAAAATTAGTCCAATAGTTTTGTGACAATTTGATGCATACAAACAATCAAATCTTTCTTCTTTATAATATTTGTACTTTACCTATAGAGTTTTTACAGTATTATTTATAAAATGAGGTTAAATAAGAAACAACTCAATTTTTCAAAATAAAATGTGAGCTATATTATTCTTTAATAATATGGTTAATTCTTTAATAATAATATGGACTTATCCATCCAGAACAACCTTATAATGTCAGTGCCGAGATATTAATTCGATTCTTACATTTCAGCACCCGCTGACAATTTGATTGCCTTCTGATTCCGACCCTGTTGCATATATTACTTCGTGGCTGGTGTAGAGATTTGCTGTTCAGCAGTCGATTTGAATTCAAATTGCACTACTCCCATTTACATTTAATTAAATATTTATATTGGTTTTGGTGCATTACTATTCCGCAAAAAAGTTTTTATAGGATTTTTTTAGTAGGGGAGATTTAACAGAGATGAGTTCGAATAAATCCGATTTTCGAAATTTAGAAACCGTATTACTTTAACAAGTAGACATGCAATACTAACTTGCTAATGATAAAAATTTAGATTTAACGGTGTTTTGGATTCTCCTCTGTTCCAAAACCCCTTAATCTCCCCTACAAATACTTTGAAAAATATACAGGGTTCATTGTAAAGTATCAAAACCCTCGCAGGACTATATACTACCATCATATATATCACATTTTTTTCTATGGCATTTGATGTTCGTCACGTTTTGAGAGAATGAAAGACCATCATTTATCAACAATTGCTGTCAGACAAAAATAAAATTTTATTAACTCGTACTTTATAACTCCTAGCATCTGGTGTTCAAAGTATTGGGATACGGTCAAACTCGGCGAGGGAAGTGGTCTTCTGGCTCTCCTCGCTCATTGCTTACTGTAGAGAGAGACATTAATGGGCTTTAGTCGATATGCCTCTGCCCTCAGGATAGAAACCCAACATAACGTAATCTGTTACAACATATTTCCCATCGATAAAAGATATGGATGTGGTAGATATTTTATTAATCATACAGTTTAGACCGCAATAGCTTAATTCGAAAGGTAATAAAGATTTAATTTGACGGACGAGCAATTGACCTCTAATGTTGCGACTGCGTTATGTTTGACCCTGTATGTTTAGAGAAAAACAAAATCTGAGAATGAGCCCTAATTGGCCACCGATAGTCAATATTTTTTCAAATATATGAATAGTCATTATAAGGTATATGGTCAATGTATTAATCTATTTCAATGCTGAAATAGAAGGTTTCAAATCTCATGAAGTTATGTTATAAGATCTGGGTTCCTTTTTTGGTTACCCATCCCGTGACCGGCCTGTGCGTTAGTTGCTTAGCATCAAAAACCACATGTCGTATTTATTCATACATTCAATGTCATGATAGTGTCGAGTTTGCGAGCAGTCTGCCACTCGATGTGTTTACGTGTTTCATGTGGCATGACTTACACACGCAGACCACTTAATAGTTACAATCTATATAGGGCTGCCAACTGTCTTTGAAGAGTTTATAATAAGTTATTTATTCATTATTTATTTAAATGTATAACGAGTATTATTATTATGACAAGGTTATTATTAATATACTTTGTATATTATTTCTGTAAAATATCATTTTCGATTAAATATTTTCAGGCATAGCGTTGTTATTCTATCCAATAAACAATTTGAAAAGGATTAAATACAAAATTAAATCCTTTGTTCATATTTTATAAAAGTCAACAATGCTAT